AAAATGTGCAGATTAGATTTCTTTAAATTAGATTAATATCAATACTTAAAATAAATTTCAAAAATATTTATTTAGTAACTTTAATTTCATTTTTAGATAAAAATGAATAAGTAAAAGAGTATTTTCAATTTCAGGCAATATTGCGTCTAAAATAAGAATAAGACTCCACCGTTCGGAAGATATTGTTTTTTAAAATCCTATTTTCTTGGGGGAAATTAAAATTAGTGAAAATAATACATATATTATTTGAAATTTTTGTTTGAGTTTTCATTACTTTGTGTAAAATGTAATTGTAATCCTTAATTTTTTTTTAATATTTTGATATTGATTTCGTTTTTTGTTATTTTATATAAATTAAATAAAATATTTTTCCTCGTTCTACTTTTTTTGACAAAAATTCAAAAACCGTTTAAAACGGGTTTTTTAGAAATACTGACTTCGAAAACTGGTTTTTGTATAAACCCTACGTGCAACAAAAACTGATTGGGATATTTAGTTCAAAATTTGCAAATTTTTGATGTTATTTTATTCTTGCCTTCAGAGATCGGTTAATTAAATTAGAATCCTTTCAGGAAATAAGTTTAGATGAAGCGCAGCAAAAAAATGTGTTTAATTTAAAAGGCCGTACAAGGAAGTTGTGATGTCCATATCAGATATTTTAGTTATTAATCAAGATCTGATAAAAATCATCTTCAAAATTTTGGCTCTAGGAAACAGATTTTTTTGGGGGTACTGTAAATTTATTACAGGGCCCGAGACCCCCTCTCCTTGTTCATCGATTGTCATTCTTCAATCTGATCTGATTAACTGTTTCACTTGCACTACCATTCCTTTGTTTCTAGAAGTTAAAGGTCTCCCACTACACTCTTGTTTTCCAGCATTTCCTGTCCATCCCAAAATCTTGAAAACCATTTGTAAATGGCTATTTTCTTTGAAGAATCATCACTGTTAACTATCTGAAAGACTAACTCTGAAACAGATTTCCCCAATCTGCACATGAACTTCATGTTCACACTTTGCTCAGACTTCGACATTGTGCCAACTGATCACCACACACTCCTACCTTCAGCTATACTTCCTGTTATGAATCCCGATATAAATAAATATAGCAGTAAGAAGTGTACAGCAGTGGTAGTAAGAAAATAAATTAATTATTTGCGATGATAAAGTTACAACTAAATTCTGGAAACGTTTTGACTGCCCTTTGTCTGTTCATGCAGTTACATATGACTAATTACTTTTTTCTTTTGTAAAAAATTAATATAAATACCTTTTATTTATTTTATAATATATAATACATGCAGATTATTTAATTTTTGTCAAATCATATTTATAATAGTAACAAAATCTAACTGACCTCAAAATTTTTTTAAATCAAAATATCTCTAATATTACAACTCATCAATCATCTCAACAAAATAAATACATTCTATACTTAAATTCCAAAGAAATGGCTTATTTAAAATTAATTCATATATTATCATTGAGAAACATTTAAGCGCAGTTAGCATAATTTAAATATACTATACAAATAAGAATACAAGTGCTCAAACTGAAACAGATATGCCAGATAAGACAAAGAAGTCACACAAGGATGAGCTGTTCTTAAAAGTAGCAGCCAAATGGAATATCGTTTAGCACAATTTTTGTTACAATGTGAACACCATTGCCAAATCAGAAGTGACAGATGAGTTATCTACCGCACCATCTTGCATTTTTGGCCACCAAACTTCACCCGCTTCACGAAATGGCTCACAAAAGTAAAAGAAATGCTAGTCATTTCTAATAACTGGACTCTGGCTACATCTCTCAGCTAGCACATGAAATGGCCAGCCAATTTGTAAATTGGCCCCACTTCGGGCTTTAGTCACAATCTATATGAATGATGGGATTGTTTGTAATGGATTTTGTATGAATACATTGAAGAATGATGACATGATAAATTTAAGAAAAAAAGTTTTGAACATTTTTAGATATACAAGCAATAACAAATCTTCGAAATTTTTGGAGTTGAAAAGGGTATGTTCTTTCTTGCCTTTTGATGCTAAGAATAATTTCAAAAATTACTTCTAAGATGAAATTCTCTGATATATATAGATACACGTATGCACACACTTACATACAATATAATGATATGAAGGGGTTGCAGCCTCCCCTCAAACTGAAGTTTCAGTTCATAAATTTAATAAATTTGTTTACAAATCTTATTGGTTAAGGAATATTGGTTTTAGATCAAAGTTCCAGCCCCAGAAATATTGATCATTTCTTGAAGTGGTTATCTTATCTTAGAGATGTGGGCACCATGACAGGATTTACTATATTTCAAATAAGACTACTGATATAACATACAGACAATCACACTTGGGGCAATAACATGTTTGGATACAATTAGAAAGACTGTACTGTAACAAATCATTTTTAATTTGATAGATGCAATAAAAATAAATAAATAATTTTAAAAATTACCCATCTCAAAAAGAACACAAAGCCCTCCTTCTCCCCCCCCCAAAAAAAAGAAAGAAAACCAATGACTTCTCAGTTAGCATTCATTAATCATTTGAAACTGTGTAATATTCCCTCTGGAATGACAGGAACATTTCATTTTTCAGAAAAAAACACATGGGAAATATCTAACTTTTATGGTTATGTTTTGCTTCTTTTGAAAATATCTCAAAAAACAAAATAGACAAGTGATGACCATAGGATCATAATATTAACAGCTAAGTCTTTTAGCACCCTCACAGTCTGCTTAAGAATGTTCCATAATGATAATTAGTATGGGGACTACCTTTTTAACCACTTGCGCTACGACTAAACTTCACGGTTGCGGTGCTGTGCGCTACAATATAACAAGCGGTAAAGTGTCTCATTTATGCCGCTCCGTGTTTGCAATCCAGAGCTGTAACTCGAGAAATAAACAATCTCGTTGTTAGGCAACATGTGCACCACATTATCTTCATTTTTGCGATAAATGCCTATCGACGTGGTGTTCACGTCACTCACAGTTTGAGACAAAAGCATCTTGACATGCGTGGCACGTCCTTTTAGCGCAAGTGGTTAAACCTAGAATTACTGCATCAAGATATTTTATTCTAAATTTTGCAAGACCATTTTCATATACTAGTAGTAGATTAAAAATTCCTTTTGATTAAAAGAATGCAGAGAAAATTTAATTTTCTTGCAACCTATCAATAATTAACAGCATGTCCAAGGTAGCTATGGGAACAGATTAAAACCCGCTAGTCCTTCCTTGCATAGGGTTCTTCAGCTCTTCCCAATCATGCAAAAATCCAATCACACTTACAAGGAGTATAGTCTCAAAAGAGATTATGTTTCCTTTTAATGCTTTTGAAAAGTAATACAAAAAATTACTTGAAAGTGTTACTGCCTAAAATGTTAGGAGACTAGAAATCCCTCTTGTCCATTTAATGACATGCCACTACTCCCAACCCAACTCATTCTAAAGACTTTTTATAAAGTTTAAAAATGGACTGTTACCGCGCGACCTCAACACTCAGATGTTATTGTCCTGTAGCATAAGAAACAAAACATATTCCCTTATGTTTTTGCTTGTTCTATGCCACTGAGCAGAATCAACTTGGACAATTCATAGTAACAGAAGACCAAAATGGTTCTTGATTAAATGACAATTAGTACCATCAGTACATATCTAGGAGTAGATAATCCAACTGATAAGTTGATTAGTTTCTGAAAATTATAAAAAAAAAAAAAAAAAAGATAATTTTGAACACTCAATGCACTTCAGACATGGCATAATCATCACTAAATTCTTCATTATGTTTAAATTGAACCAGCTATTGACCATTCTGACATGTGGGAGGAAATAACTACATTCCATTTTTTAGTGAAACATTTCCCTTAGCTTCTCCCAGAAGCAGTAGTCTATGAACCATTTTTATATTAAACACTTGAACACAATATTACTCCTCAAATTCACTCCACACTCTTGTGTTTCATGCAGTTTAGAGATCCAATGACGTTAAATTTTTGTTTCTAAACGCCATATAAACAAAATTCGATCCTGTGAAAGAGTACATTATTTTCAAGCATTATTGCTGGTCTTCCTCTTTGCAGGCACAGTTTCACTAAATGCTGTCAAAAATTCAATAATAATGTAACATTTTATTACAAGGAGGTAGTAGCACAAGAAAGGGCATTGCACTATCACCTAACAATACTTCTGAATAATCATGGTTCACAATGCAAAACGGTTTTATCAGCAGAAGAATGATGCAATGTTGCAGATAGAATGAAACATGATTTTGAGAAACACATGATCATCAAATTAGAATACAGATAAATGCATGTTTGCATTAAATCACATAAAAATCTTAAGATGATGCAATTTTTTCACACCTTAATAAACAATGAAAATTCAAGAATGAAACCTTTGAAACTAATGCAGACTTCATATCAGATTTCTTTCGTAACTAACAATTCATTGAGCACTTTTTTTTTTTTTTTTTAATTTCCTTGTTATACTTCATGTATCAAATATTGTTCCTTTATGCAATTTACTGAGATATTAATAACAATGCAAGGACAAAAATTTTGTGTCAGCAAAAGGTGCATCTGTATGCCTGTTATTTTCCAAATATAATTTCAAATTTAATGAGGTGCAATCTCAATCATGAACAATTTGTTATATCTAGATATATTTTCTATGTATTATACATGCAGTCAATGCTCACTAAATGACTGTTCATTTCAGCAATCATTCAAATACAACAAGTAGTACTAAAAGTCCCTAACTACTAAGAATATATTAAATCTACTTGCATTACAGTTAAAGTCATTTAATGTAGAACATAAAAGATTATTATGAAAAATATTAACTGCATATATAGATACAATTATGTTTTACCCAACGAACAAAAACACAATATTGTAAAAAAAAAAAACCCTCATTTACAATGAAAAAAAAATATATATAATATATATTTGTAAAAAACCTCATTCTCCTTAAAAACATCCCAAAATACATATTATAAAAAATTTTTATTATATATAATATTTACATATTCATTGAACAAAGCTTTTATCACATCAAACATTTTGTTTTTTGAGCAACATTTTTTTCTAATTGTAATACTTCCAATAATTTCTTCTGAAGAGCCAAACCTAATTCTTGACCAGCCTGGAAAAAACTTATGTAAATCAACTTTTAAATACAACTCCTAAAAGAATTAATAAACAATAATTTAATTTACATGACAAACTTACTTATTGTAAAAACAGTTCCATATAATTTATTTAACATACAGGATGGGACAGGGATTAAATAACACATAGTTGACGTCAACAAAATATGACAATTGCTTATGACATCAAATTATAGAGAAATATGAAAACAAATGATGAAAAAATAGTTGTTAAAACTTAGCAATCAGGTGGGTGCTAAGTTTCTACCTGATTTTAGTCAAGAAAGAAAGGAGAAGACTACATGAAATAGTATAGCTATGATTTCTTATAACTGCCACCATTGTGCATGACTTCCTGCCAGCTATCTGATTGTAGGTTTATTACACACTGATAAAACTCTTTTGTCAATGAATTTGAAGACTAGTAAGTGAAATGGTATTCTGAATGTTCAGCAGAATCCTGATACCAAAGGTTAACCTGATTACACGTGCTTCAAAGTGCATTTACTTATTTTTTTATTTTTTTTTTTTTAAAGAATTCAGAAACTGGAATTCTTTAAGTAATTTGATAACGAATTAAAGTATGAATGGAAAGCCTTGAAAATTACTGATAAAATTTCCATAAAAGTTACCTAACATTATATTTAACTGAAACATTTAAAAATGTTTTTAAAATGATAAGTCTTGCATATGAGTTACTGTGATTTATTAAGTTAATTTCTTTGGAATTCATGCATTCATTGAATATGAGCAATGGAATATATTAGACTAAATTGTGATTATTGTGGTCTTGATTTAATAAATATGATTAAGTTTTAAGGTTTATTTGATAGTTAGCCTCTTAAGTTAGGCATAATTTTTTAATTTTGAACTCGTATTTTGAGAATTGGTGATTGATTTATTTAAATTTTAATTATTTTTCCCTTGTGCCCTTGTTATGGAATTCAATGAATAACATTAATTGGTTTACACAGGACATAAGCTATTTCTAGTAATTAAAGCTACGTGCTTTGATATTTTATGCAATTTTTGTGTTTTCAGAGAATTAATTTATAGAAATTAATTTATATAGATTATTGACTTCAGCTGAGATGGAATGATTTATTAATGAAAATGTATTTTGATTTAATACCAAGCTACTATACAGGAATACAGTACAAAGTCCGTAATCTGGATGTCCATTATCCGGACCTCAAAGCCATAAACTTACGCATGCGCTTTTAATGTGCGCATCTGCTACACATGTGCATAAAGCGTTTACCCATGCGCACTTCCAATAGTGAAGAAAGTGACAGAGAGGTTATTGAAAACGAAAAAATTTCAATTGACAAGTCAGTCGGTATTCTCGACACAGCAATTACAAGACTTGAACAGTGTAACTTTGTAAATAAACAAGGAATTATGTCTGTTTATAGAATTAAAGAGAAAGTATTAGCACAAAAAAAGAAGCAACTTAAACAACTTACATTGAAAGAAATGATTAATAAAGTAAACAAATAAATATTAAGCTTTTTTTTTTTTTTTTTTTTTTTTTTTTTGTAAATTTTGATACCCTTTAGATCATAATTGCTCTTTATTTCATAAGTTATAGTTTTATATTTTTAATTGTATAATTTCTGCATGTCATCTTACCAGATTTAAATTGATGATCTATAATCCCGAACAACCTCTAATCTGAAATCGCCAAAGTCCAGACGAGTCCGGATTATGGACTTTGTACTGTATATACTTTAAGACAATATTTTACATTTTTGCACATGAAAATTAAGTACTTTTAATGAATAAAATTAAGGAACTATCACAGGGTTGCCACTCAAACAGGAGAATGAAATTCCCTGACTTTTCCAGGTCATTTTCCAGGTATGTTACGAGAAAATTCCAGTCTATCCGCGTAATGTACGTTGGCTATGCTAAGAGGTAAATTAATTATGGTATTACTTGTACTGTGTAGGAAATTCACTTAATTATTCAATAAATCTCAGAGGACATTTATTCTTAATTATTCTTGGTACACTTTTTTTGATAATTTTGTTTACTTTTCCACTTAAGAAACTTAATAAAATGTAAGATATATACATTGGATAACTATTGTACGTTTTATTTAATTATTACTCATGATCATTACCAGTTCAACATGAGGCTAATCTGGTTCTTATAAATCACAACGCAATGCTAAAAGTTAGGTTAGATTTTAGGTAAATTTAATTTGTGTGATGTGTCTTCTTGAAAGGCACCTTAACACTTGAAAACACAAATATAATTATAATCAGGGGCTTAGCTAGAGGGGGGCATCTGTCCCCGGGCGCAGAATCCAAGGGGCGCCAAACTGATGTTACGACATTTTAGAATTAAATGTTTTCCATCCTTGACAAGCAGTAGGGGGCGCGAAAATCTTCAGTTGTCCCTGGGCGCTGAAAACCCTAGCTACGACTCTGATTATAATAGGAGTTGTTTTCTCCACTGAAGATTGAGATTAGAATCTTCCCAATCTGGAATAAAATAAGGCTTTTTTTGCAGACATTCTGCAGCTAAATGAAAGAAAGAAATCTATTTAATGATATTTTTTTACTAAATTGAGGCATTTTATATTTATTTCGCAGCATACATAAGGAAAAAATACGTGCATTAAATTTCGTGATGTCATCATACTGCTAGAATTAATTTCAGGATTATGCCAGAGAAAATTTCTTGAAATTTGGAAATATTATTTACTAATGATAAATAAATTTAGAGGGAAGAAGCAACATTAAATGATATGAATAACATAAAAATAAAGATAATTGCTTAAAAATTGAATTAGAATAATCAACGATATTTTAGCGAATATAGTTATATTACATGGTTAGCCTAGATGACTGATTACTATTTTTTTATTTTACTGCAAAATGCAAAGTATTTATTAAAAAGAAAAGAAAAAAAAAAAAAGATTTTGCGGTAAAATCCTAGCACACGGTACGGCCTTCGCACGATTTTGAAAATTGCCGCCAAGAACAAAATGACTCGTTTACTGCTCATCATCATGTCGCCAAATCTCACTGTACCATACATGGAGATTATTTTAACCAAAGAACATCTATGCAAAGAAGAAAAGGTTCCATACATGTAAATGCTATTACGCGGCTAGAAAGCGGAGGGAAAATTTGCTAAGGGATTTGGCGACGGAACCTGGCGGCCAGAATTTCCCTCTCCGCGATGTGTACAGGAAATTGAGAAATACATGTTAAGAAGAAACGTTCTTTGACAAAAAAGAAAGCTACGAAAATCCATTTTTAATTTATAGCGAAAAATCCAAGAAGAAACATTTTATCAAAGAACGTTTTTTTCTTGGATTTTTCGCAATAATTTTAAAAACGGATTTTCGTAGTTCCCCCCCCCAAATAACTAATCCATGAATTAATTTACTTGTGCCAAAAGATATTTTCTTTTCCTTTAGATTAGAGTTTAAAGAAATTTTAAACGATATTAATTTTATGAATTCTTGATAACTCGAACTTCGACACCGGTTTCGAGCTTTGGCGACATATATATCGCGCACGCACAGCTGTTTCCCTCTATGATGGAACGGAGCAACGTCTGTTGCAGAGAGGTTTTCTTTCTTTACAATACATATTTTTTTATTCTAACCTTCATGGTACCGTATACTAGGATTAAACCCATTTTGTTTTATACGAGAACAGGTACTTTCTTTAGTTCATGCACTGCACATGCGATTCTCGAGGAAACCAAAAGTTGCGGGAAACTTGATTTGCCTTTCTAAAAGACAATCACATTGGAGATGCGAAAATTGGCTCTATGCCAGCTGCCCGAATGACACTCACGTGATACACAATTCGCCAAAAAAGTGATCTCTTCCGACGTCGGCGCAAAACTCGCCTTTTTTGGCGGGTTCGTTGTATGAAATTCCCTGACTTTTCCAGATTTTGACTAAAACACTTAAAATTCCCTGACTTTTCCCTCAATTTTTTGGTCAATTTCCGAATTCCCTGACTTTTTCCGGTTTTCCAGGTAGCGTGGCAACCCTGATATAAACAGACAGAAATTCAAGATTAAAATTAAGGGCTTTCTGCAGTGTTTGGCCAAAATTAAGGACTTTTAAGAACCAAAAATTGATTGCAAAAAACCTAAGGACTTTTAAGAATGTACAAACCTTGTTTTACAAATTTAAAAATTTGAAATATGAATCACCATCCATCAGGATGCCTTAAGTGTTCCAAACCTATCCCATAAGCCAGAATTCTCAAAAAATAATCCAAAAAAATGATGGTGAACAGACATAAATGGGCTCTCAAATTTCATAGCTCACCGCATCCTTCTCAAGCATGCTTTAGACAACATCGATCAACTGAGCAGCATACTGCAGTTATTAGCCAGAAAATAAAGACTATTTTAAGGTAAGGCTGATTGATATGCAGCTGCAGTTTTTGTTGATATCAAAGATCATATGACTGCATTTGAAAGACACTTCAGCTCAACAAATTTTTCACTCTGGGAGTATAAAAAAATATGCTAAAATGGAATCAGCAGCTTTACTGGCCAATCTTATTGCAAACAACTTTAGTGGTTTGCAATCCAGCCTTTTCAGGATGCAGTGATCAGCCATTGTCTTTTTAATGTCTGTATCAATGATCAATAATATATATATGTTAGGAGATGAGGATGAATTTATACACATACATGCTAACAATTTGATGATTTGATCCTCTGTCCCAAAAAAGCATGTCCAGGAATAGTTACAAGGAACACCAAATGAAACCATGAAGAGGATAAGAACATGTTACCCATTAAATAATATGAACGTAAACATTGGTGAGGATTTATATAATTATACAGTCATGAGTGTCCCCTCTGCAATTCTAGCTTCATAGATGGTGACCACCTCATCTCCTGTTCTAACAGATTTTTTTGTTCAAATGTTGGTTGAAGTCTTGAGACAGCATGAGACTCTCTTCACAGTATTTTAAACTTTTCTTTTTAAATGTCTAAATTCTAATTCTACTATTGAATTTTATCTACATGTTTCTACTCTGTATTTTCTTTACATTTTATCACTTAAGAAAAAGTTTACAAAAGCTCTTGTGCATTGGAAATTTTAAGAAAACAGGTAGTGATTACAGATTGGTTACTAGGTAGCGATTTTAATTCAACTAGTACCAGCTAGTAACATTTCAGTGTATTAAACACCTAACTGTAAAGATCATCTCCTATGCAATTTGACAAAAATATTTGAGCAGTTCTCAGCCTGATAACAATAAAGTTTCCATCTATCAAGAGCAAAACATAAGAGAAAGGGATCATGACCATTGAACAGTATTCAAAAGAGAACTTTGCACACCAGGGTTGCCATTGAAACAACAGAATGAAACTCCCTGACTTTTCCAGGTATGTTTTAAGAGAATTCCAGTCTATCTACATAATGCACGCGGGCTGTACTGAGAGGTAAATTAATTATGGTACCACATGAAAACACAAAAATTTGGCAATTACATATGACTTATATATAACATATGCACATAATATATAATTTCCAAAGCATTACTATTATAGCTATAACAGGAGTTGTTTTCTCCACTGAAGATTGAGATTAGAATCTGCTCAATCTGGATTACAAAATGACCGAAATATATTTAATGGTGTTTAAAACAAATTCAGGTATTTTATGTTTATTTAGCAGCATACATAAGCAAAAAATATGTGCATTAAATTTCATGATAGTATGTTGTCATATTGCTATAATTAGTTTCAGGATTATGCCAGAGAAAACTGCCTGAAATTTGAAAGTATTATTAACTAATACTAAATAAATTTAGACAGAAGAAGCCACATTAAATGGTATGAATAACATTAAAATAAAGTTAATTACTTAAAAAATTGAATTACAATAATCAATGATATTTTGGCAAATATAATTATATTAAATAGTTAGATTAGATGACTGATTACTATTTTTTATTTTACTGCAAAATGACAAATGATGCATTTATTAAAAAGAACAAAAAATGCTTTAAAGATTTCGAAGTAAAATCCTAGTACACGCTACAGCCTCGGCACAATTCTGAAAATTGTTGCTAATACCAAAATGACATATTTACTGCTCATCATAATGTTGCCAAATTCCCTGTGAACCACATACTAGGATTAAACTGATTTCATTACAAGAATGGAACAGTATTTCCTTTAGTTCAACATGCACTGCACATGCAAGTCTCTCAATTCTCGAGGTTACTGGAAATGAAAGTTGCTGGAAACTTGCTTTGCCTTTCTAAAAGACAATTTGATTGCAGCTGCGAAAATTGACTCTACACCAGCTGGCCAAATGATGCTCATGCGATACATAATTCCCCAAGTGACTACTTCCAATGCTGGAGCAGAACTTCCCCTTTTTGGGGGATCCTGGTATGAAATTCCCTGACTTTTTTGGTCAATTTTTAAATTGCCTGACCTTTTTCTGGTTTTCCAAGTAGCATAGCAATCCTGGCACACTCTTATACAGATGGTTCATCTGATGAAACAACCACTAATGGAGAATATGGAGTATTTCTGACTTATCCTGGCAATACTACTTATTAACACAAAATTGGCACTGGAGCCACAGTCTTTGACTTCACTTGTGAGCCTCTGGTAATAGTGGAGGGACTTGACATGCATTACACTTGACCTGCATGACAGTTGACCCTTTCCCTTTCTGAGCAAGCAATAGGACTCTTCTGTGACTAAAAAGCCCTAAATCAGCTTCAAAAATTAGGAAAAAAATTTGCATTTTTCAATGGTTGCCAGTGTATGTCAACATCACAGGTAATGAGAATGCAGATAAACTAGCAAAGAAGGCTCAAAATCTCAACAATAATAATGTAGATGTCATCCTCTTTGATGGAAATGCCATAGTCAAACACAGAATAGCAGAGGGATCTTCCAACTACATATACCTGGAATTTTACAGATAGGCATGCAAACATTTTTCATATTTAATGCATACAAAAATTCATTAATACAGTCAAAAGTCTTTAATCCGGACTTGTCAGGACTTCGGTGATTCCGGATTATCGATTTTTCCGGATTATAGATCATCAGTTTAAATCTGGTAAGATGGCACGCAGAAATTATAAAATTAAAAATATGAAACCGTAATTTATAAAATAATGAGCAATTATGATCTAAAGGGTATCAAAATTTACCAAAAAAGAAGCCTAATTATTTGTTTACTTTATTAAACATTTCTTTCAACGCGCGGATGCGTAAAGCATACCTTACGCATAGCCGAAATTAGAAAATTGCAACCAGAAAACTATTTGATTTGTATTCGTTGTATTTATAATGATGAGGAATTTAATTTAAATCATATCAAAGACGGAGTACATCGAAATTAAATACTACATTTAGTAAGGAATTATAAGCCGAATAAAATAAAAACATCTGCTCTGAAGATAAGGATAGTGTTGACAAATCAACTTCCAGTTCATTGGGCGCCGCGACGTCTCCCCCTCCCCCCCCGCGCAGAGCAGCGTGAAATTGATAAACAGATTTCGGAACCGTTAGATAAACAAAGAATATGCCTTTATCCATTTTTTGTAGCAATTCGTTTTTTGTCGTTTTTTTGATGGACATCGAAACATACTTTCGTTTTCTAGATCCTTTGGGAGCTCCAGCATCGGAAATTCTATTTGGCATAATCAAAAGTTCAAGCTTACTTTTAGAAAATTGATCTTACAGTCTGCAAAAAATAATAAGCCGGATCCAATTCGAAGATTAAGGAACAACGCAATCATCAACATTAACTGAAATAAATAATTAGATAATTTTAGCTTATACCATCCGTAACGCGCATGCGAAAACGTATTCTGCACTTGCGCAGACGCATATGCGCAGTCGTAAATGTCTTGGGCGCACGAATAAAACGTCTATGCGCATGCGTCAATGCGGCACATGCGCAGAAAGATTTTAGCTTTGAGGTCCGGATTATGGGTGTCCGAATTAACGACTTTTGACTGTATATGGAATGGGTGTGCATAAATTCATACATAGATCCACAGAGCTGAAAGAATTAAAAAGGAAGTGAATAAATATATACATACTGAAAATTTTATTGAATTAAGACCTCAAGAGGTGCTATAAAGTAATAAATTATTTATTACTGTCACAATAGACTAGTGTACAGTATCACTATCATAAGTTCTTTCCCCTCAACTGAATATCTCAGTTTTTTTAACTGGTCCCACAAGTGGAAGATAATTTAAAAAAGAATTTTTTCATACTTTATACATCAAAACAGTAGGAAAATAAACAATAATTTCCTTTTGTGAACATAAAGTTCACATTTAAAGCAGAAAACAGTTTTTGCAACCCCAGAATATTCTTACGCAATATTTATTTATTTATTTTTTTTTTTAATTTTTTTTTTTTTTTTTTTTTTTTTTTTTTTTTTTTTTATGTGTGTGTGTGTGTATTTCAATACTTTTTGGAGGATATGATATAAAGAAGAAGTTAGTCTCACAAACAGAACAAAGAACTTACCTCAGTGCTATCTTTAATACTCTCAAGATGCAAACAACCAGGACCACTTATTTGTTTCAATAGTACTGTATCAGTTAAAGAAACTGCAAGAACAAGTTTGCATTTGCTACAAGCTTCTTCTTCACTAGTAGCATCAACAATGAATTCACTGCCAACCTTGAAATGTTAATTATTAGATTAAAATTTAAAGTGCAACACAAGTTAAATCTTTAATTAGAATACATTCAGTAAAACTGAAATTCAAGTACCACAACAGGTAGCACAGTTTTTTGACAATTTATAGACATAGAAACTAAAGTAAAAAACAAGGTATAAAAATTTTTGACAGTACAGGAAAAAAAACTTGACTGAAAAAAAGAAAGAAATATATAGACATGCTAGTATAAAGTGGCTTTTGTTAATAATATAATTTGATATTGCATCATGGTATAGAATCATACAAATACTGCAAACTAAGGTGGAGCAAAAAATAAAAATAGTATAATTGTAATAATTGGTAACTACCTCTCAAAAGTTGTATATTGACTTATATCACTCTTCCCCCCCTTTTTTTTTTTAATTTTTATTTTATCTTAATTTCCTGCAAAAGCCTTGAAATTTGCCACTTTTACTTTAAATTTCCATATTATAATAAAATATTTCAATATACTATTTTCCTCAGAAACTAACAAAACTTTAAAAATACTTCTGCATATACTCAAAGAAATTACTATCTCTGTAAAAAAAATAATCATAATATGTTGATTTTACCACCATAAAATATATACAACTTAAATTTTATTATTAAATTGATGCTGGTTTGTAGGGACTGAGCTGGCAATGCACTGATAAACTGCAATAGCATGCATAGAGACTGCGTAATCCAGTTTCTTGCTGCGTGGGGTAATGACATCAGCTATTGTCTACCTTCATGCACAACACATATCAACAGAATCCCTGAAATATGACTTTGAGTAGAGACAAAGTGATGTACTCCATTACTGGCAGGCCAAGAGATGTTATTACAATATACTGTCCATGTGAGAAGAGGAGTTAATGTTACATTTAGATTCAGCTACATTTTCTGTTAAAAAGTTACTGACTTTTTCCTAAGACATGCCATGCATTTTCAACATTATATTGGCATATTCAAGCTTATCCCCCCACACACACACCTTTGGCTCAACATTAAACAATTTCCCGTAAAAACACGTTTATTTTTTCAAGTTTTCTCTTCTTTTTACTAAATTTTTGTAAATATATTTACTGTAAAATATTCATAATAGACAGCTTGCAAACTGGAAGATTTACATTCATTCACAAGCACAACAATTAGAAAATGTTATATTTCTAGCACAATATTCTCCTCTATTGCAGCCATTAAAATCTGCATACAACAATCAGACACAGCAACTGACGCAATCTCCCCAAATCCTCTTCAGGGTATTGGTTAGTTGGTTAATTCAGGTGAAGTAACTCAAGGGTTATCTGCCTATGGGGAGACACACCTCCATAGAGGACATTTTAAGGGAAACTGTCTCATATCCATGAGCAATGGAAACAAAAAACACAGTTTAGTTATCTTCATAGATTAGTTTTCAACAATTTCCACAATTTTGTGGTGTACTTCAATTTTAAAATTAGGATGAGATGCAAGGAAGTATCAGTGGTATGATTCATTTGAAGCTTTAGCTAAAAAGATTCAATTAATGTTAACTCTTGATACCATTAGTAAGAGATACTCTTGTTACCTTAAGTAACCCTTAATACGAATAGTAATTTAATTACATGGTCTCAGCCCTCTATCATGACCCTCGATAGCTCAGTTCATTGGCTGCCCTCCTGCACAAGTATCAATCAATTAAATCAGTGAAATATATGTTCAAATAGATAGACAGCAAACTGCCCCTTTACTGGTAGGCCAAAGACCTTAATTGTAATGTAATGTCCATGCGAAAAGATGTCTTACAATGTTACATTTGGTTCAGTTACAGAAGGATTATTCTGGACAGTAAAAAACAAAAGTAGGTGTACAATGGAACCTAAAAAACTTGTGATAGGGCTTCAGTCCCAGTTCTACATTGTCCAAAATTAATTGGCTTGATAGTGACAAGTAAAAGGCTATGCAATTTTCAGAGGTAAGGGTACTAGTAGCAGAATGCAAGGAAGAAGTTAACGAATGTGTAGATTCACCAATGAATCTGGTAATGCAAAGTTCTGGGAAACTTTTTAACGCAAGATGGCTCACTACGGCCAACATATTTCTTTGAGTTTACATAAGCAGCATTGATCCATCTGCCACCTTGAAGAAGATGGCTTTTTTCAGCATAAGAGTATATGCGCTCCAATGTGGTTTTGCATTAAATGCAATCCAACTATTAAGGATACTTTCATTGATGTATGCACAACTTAGTTCTCTTGGTACCTCACTGATAATCTGAATATCATCATGAATAGTTTGACTCAATGAAATGGTTACACTGAACATCCAGAAAATTTGCTGGTAGTTGTGCTCACAGACAAACAGCAGTGCATTTGAGAGAATTCTTTCTGCAAGGTTGATGTAGAAAAATATATATAATATAAAGAATGCTGCAAGGTATGCACAGAATTCTTTCTGCGAGATCTTGGTCAAAGGAGCCAACTCTACTAGTACGTAGATTCAAGCAATTAATGTCAATGCCCAACATAACACTGACTTTATTAACTGGCAGCATTAATGAAGTTACAGAGCCATCCCTTTAATCCAATCCATTGAGCAAAGATTTGAAAGCAATGTATCAAGGAAGACTGCCCATTTCATCTATGTGCTTTCTACTTCCCACTATGAAAAGATACTAAAATTCTAAAATCAGCTACCAGTGTGATGACTCAGCAGACCATCACCCCCATTTTTAAGCTTTGACACACACTGGACTGAATTCTTCATCTGCCATGTTGGTGGCATGGTATGTCATTCATTCATCAATGTAGCTTAAGCAAAAGTGGAAGTTATTGAAGATGGCTTTGCATTTTAAATTCCAAATTATTTGAGCATAGCACCAATCAAGCACAGGCAACAGTGGTAAGTTGCATAGTGGATGATAGCCCTGCAACTCTACTACTGCGTGCAAAATCATTGCTTGGTGATTGCTTTAATAATTGAAAGTATTACCATTCCCTTATCAGCTTATAAAGAGCCTTTACCATATCTGCTAACTTCATGAGAATGACATAAATCTGAATATTTTGAAACACATGAAAAAGAGAAATACAGAAAAGAAATTTAAGGTAACTTCTGCTTAAAGGAACTCAATTCAGAAATTTCTGAACATGAAAGTGGAAAATAGAAAAGTTTTATATTCATGCTATGTTTTCAAAACTAATGTAATTTTAATATATTATTATTATTTCAATGGTATGATAAAACTATATCTGTTCAAGAAATCATCACAAAGTTCACAAATCATTAAATAAAAATTTTCATGACATGGTTGGTCTTAAAATTACTAAAATATTAACCGCTTGCCTGATTATCCTGAATTATCTCCAGTTCGTATATATATATTATATTGCAGCTCATTATTATCCTGAGAAAACTCGGGTGAAGCAGAATTTGTCAGTGTGATTTGTTTTATCACGGTTTTACTCGGCCTAGAGGAAATAAAAGGAAATATTCAGCTTTAACTGGCAGTTTGCCAAGTTTCATTGGTTTTGAGGTTCTTTTGACGGGATTGGTCACATGTTACCCTATCGTATAGTATATGTCGGCTTGTGGGTTAGTAATGTACAAAAAAGGATAGTTGCGTTGAAAAAAGGTAAAATAATGGCGATGATGCAAGATAGCAAAAATAAAAATGATTTTTGAGATAGTGATTATGAAGAGGTGGACATTGAAAATAGTGGAAGTGATCCTTTTGTATGTAGCCTTATTGAAAATGACAATTCAAGTGATTCAGACAATTTGCCGACAGCTCTTCAATAGTGTACAATTCAAAAAACGAAGTTGCCACCTGAACCTGCTCGTTTTGCTTTTACTACCAATGCAGGTATGAATTTCAATATTGATATCCATAATGTTTTGAATTTTTCGATAAATATTTTGATAATGAATTGATCGGCATTATTACAACCGAAACAAATTGATATGCAGAAGAATGTGCTTGTAGATCACATTCAAAACCACGGTGTTTTACTTCTCAAAATGAAATCAGAGTTTTTTCTGTTGTCCAAGGTGTTATAAAAAAACCAGATCTGTAAAATTATTGGAGTAAAAATCAGTTGTTGAATATGCCATTTTTTTCAAAATCAATGTCACACAGACGATTTTGTCAGATAAAGCAAAACTTGCACTTCAGCAACAATGATGCATATGATGCAAGTACACATCCTTGTCCCAAACTAAATAAGATACGACTGATTCTTCAACATTTACTTGAGAAGTTTCAGAGTACGATTATACCCGAATGAGATATAACAATATATGAAAGTTTACTTCTTTATAAAGGAAGACTTGGGTGGGTGCAGTACATCCCTTTGAAAACAGCGCGATTTGTAATAAAGAGTTTCTTACTATGCGACTCTAAGAGTAGGTACGTGTGGAATGCCATTATATACAGTGGGAAGGGAATTAATTTCGATAATTCATTCAATGAGCTTCCTATGTCAGCCCGAATTGTGATGACTCTTACAAAACCACTACTGGACAAAGGATATTGTCTTACCATGGACAATTTTTATAACCCACCAGGTCTGGCTGAAACGTTAGTCAAAAGGAAGACTGATGTGTGCAGAACACTCTGATTGAATAGAAAAGATTTACCTCAAGATATTAAGACAAAAAAATTGAAAAAAGGAGAAATTATTGGATATCACAGAGGGAAATTAACTGTAATGAAATGGAAAGATAAAAAGGATAAAGGATGTTAGTCTAATTTCCACAATACATACAATTGAAATGCAGGATGTGAAAAATAAATGGGGAGAGACGAAGTCCAGGCCTACATGTGTAGTTGACTACAATGACAAAATGGGTGGTGTAGATAAAGTCAACCAGCATTTAGGTGTTTATTCTACATCCAGAAAAAGAGGGAAAAATATTATAAGAAGATTTTCTTCCATTTATTGGATTTGGCCTTGTGGAATTCCTACATCTTGTACTGTAAAGCAAGAGGTTCACAATCACCAAAACAATTTCGAATAGAACTGACTAAAAAACCTAATTTCAGAAAATCATTGTGACGAGTTTTCTGTGACATCAGGAAGATCCAGCATTAGTCCTTCACCACTCAAGTTAACCTCAAGGCATTTTCCAGATGTTATTCCTGCTATTGAAAAAAAATCAAATCCAACGAGACAGTGTACTCTGTGCTCCCGTAAAAGAGATTACAGAGGTAAGCCAGTAAGAATAGAGACCAGATATCAGTGTACAGAATGTCAGGTATCACTTTGTGTTGTCCCTTGTTTCAAAAACTATCATACAAAGGCTAATATTTAACTTTTTTCCATTTGCCCGAGATAACTAGGGATAGTAAACTAATGTTAAATCTAAATGCTTTTACACCTGTAATAAAATAAAAATTCAACTTAAATCCTACATATTTTGTTTTGTTTCATTTCTTTGCATTTAATAATAAAATTTTAAAAAATGATGATTTTTCACAATTTTTTTCAAAAAATATGTAAGGAAAGCAGTTAATTAGTGATGCAACTGTTCAACACTGACAAACAACAGCAATGAACAAGACAATAAAAAAATTCACACACAAGAACGGAAAAACTGATTCTTGTTCTAACACAATGGATAAATTCATAAGGCGACTCAAATGTTTATCAAGAAAATATGCATAAAACACATATCTAATTATAAATTAGCAAAACATAAGTAAAAAATAAGCACAATTTCAGACATCAAAGAAAAAACAGTAAAACAAAAGAAAAATAGATTTTTTTCCACAAAATTTTACTTCACAAAAGTACTATAAAAACTTACAAACAAGTCAAACAAAATAACTATATAAAAAATAATTACCCTAAATAAAGTGATGAGCAAAGGCAAATTTGATACATCTAAAGAAAACACATCATATGGATCATCAGATACTTCTATTTCAGGTTCATTCTCACCATGTTTAACATTTACAGTTTGGATTCTGAAATTTCAAATAATCAATATTTGATTTCATAAATAAATAGCATTATTTCATGAAACATTAAAGGAAAATTGAACCAAAAAATATTTACTTAGTATCATACAAAGCAGCTTTGGTAGCTATAGATGCTGCATCAATAAGATTTCCACTGTATCCTAAAACCTAAAAAACAATAAAAATTCTTTACATCTTTTACCAGGTGTACAAGTATGAAATGCAGATTTTTTTTGCCTACAAAAAACATGTTAAATTTGGAAGAATGATAGAAATTGCTTTATTCAAAGCATGCTCCATCACCTGCTATATATTTTTTCTATCTTTCAGGCAATTTGCGAATACCACATCAGCAAAAATTTTTCCCTTTCGCTGTGAACCATTCATTATTTTTTCACATCTTCATACCAATTAAAGTCCTGCTCAGCAAGTGCATGACCCATCGATGTAAACAAGTGATAATCGGAAGGAGCCAAGTCTGGTAAGTAAGCCACATGGAATAGAACTTCCCAGCTGAGTGCTTCCAACATGCTGCGAACCAGTTTTGCTGTATGTGATGGAGCACTGCCATTAAGAAAAATAACTTTGTTTTGCTTCTTTCGGTATTCTGATCTTTCTTCAAGCAGTAAACGGTTCAAATCAGTCAATGGTTGTTGGTAATGTTCAGTACAGTAAGACCCCGCTTAACGCTGTTTCGTTTAGTGCTGTTTCGGTTTAGCGCTCTTTTATTTCAACCCGGGTATTCCACGAAATCGCTCGCAGCATACGGGGATTCCACGAAATATTATGCAGCGATAGGTTTCAAATACATATCCGAAAGAGTGTACTTGTATTTCTTGTTTGGTGCGGTATTGTACAGACATATTTTGAAGGGGTAAATGTGGAAGATGTCGAAGAAATAATTCAAGAAGCAGCGGCTAGTCTTTCTAATGATGAGCTCAAGGAATTAACTGAACAAGAAGAAAACAAAAATGTTGACAGCAGTGATTCAGAAGAAGAGCAAAAAGAACTTTCGATGGCATTTGTAAAAAGGAGTTTGTCTACCATAACTGAAATAATGGATCAATTCATTGAAAATGATCTGAATTTTGACAGGAGCTCAAAAGTAAGGCGTGGTGTTAGAGATGCTCTATCCGTTTATGAAGAACTTTTAAGAGAACAACGCAAAAGAAAAAGGCAAACCACATTAGATGCTTTTGTCACAAAAAGGCAGAACACTGAAAACGCAGAAGGCTAACTAAATATGACTGACTGAGAATTGTATTTGTTTTTTTTTAAGAATATTCTTTTTTTTTTTTTTTTTTTCAAGAAATAATAATGTGGTATTAATTTGGGCTTTAAGAAATAAATGTTTGGTTTTATTTTTATTAAAAAAACATACTTTTTAAATTTAATACCTAACCAATTTCCTAGCCATCTTCCCCTAACCCCAATATTTACATGTAAAGATAGCCTCGTTTAGCGCTGTTTCGCATTACGCTCTACTTTGATGGAACGTATCCCCCGCGTTAAGCGGGGTCTTACTGTATTAACCATTTCCCCAGGTTTTAAGAGCTTGTCGTAGACCGTGCCCCTGTGGTCTTACCAAACACAGGGTATCATCTTTCACCCAAAGCGATTCGGCCTTGCAGTTGATGTGGATGGTGTGCCTGGGTGTACCAATGATTTTCTGTGCTTGGTATTCTCAAAATAAATCCACTTTTCATCCCTTGTAACTATACGGTGCAAAAACGACTGTCTTTCATACCAAGCAAGCAAAATGTCAAATGTATTTTTGCACTTTTCCATTTACCTGTCATTCAACTAATATGGTACCCCCATCAACTGGACCCAATTGTTTGGCAAGTTGAATTTGTGTTTGTGAATCATTCTTTATCCAACAATGCAAGTTCACATCTTCAGATTTCCACATTCCTTGCTTACAACATCGAACTCACAACTTTTGAAACACCAAAACCATCGTTCACACGTGTCTTGCATTGGAGCATGTTCACTATAAGCTTCTCAAAGTAATCGGTATGATTCAGCAGCAGTTTTCTTCAAATGAAAATAAAAAAATTAATGCTGTCTGCCAATGCTCTTTATTTGGTACAAATTTCAACATATAGAACACAACAATGAAACACTAGGCACACACTTTTCCAATTTATTATTTGGGCACATCTGATACTTGTTGATGATAAAACTAAATAGCATAGTATCAAATCTTTATAGCACAAATTGCATTGGTGTGGCATGTTGTCTAAAATACACATTTCATACTTTTTTTAAAAGTTTTATATGATCCCACATCATAAGGAGAGAAATTTATGAGTATTTCTGATGAAGATGTTGGATACCAGAAACCATTAAAATCTAATAGAAGGCAGGATTTAACAAAATCGATTTAATACCGATCAGTGATGTTGAAAAAGATCAAAATCATGAAGAGATCATTACTTTAGTTAAAAACTTTAACCTTAGATTAATGTTAAAGGATGCATTACAATCAATGAAAATTTATGTAAAAGAGAATTGAGTTTGGAAATATGGGTTTTCATTAAAAAAAATTAAGATGATGAAGTAGTCATCTGAAGAAAACCTAAAATTAGAAACTGATAAGACAAATAATATATTAATTAGCTAAGGCAGATCTAGAAATTATTTCTTCAACAGCAAGGACTTGGACAACCTCATTAAAATCAACATATTAACATTTATTTAGAAAAACATGATACAAAAACATGAAACTATACACAGGGTTCATACACATTTCTGCACACAGAAATTAAGTACTTTTAAGGACTTTTAAGTACTTTTAAGGACCATTAATGAAGAAAATTAAGGACCTTTGAGCAAATGGGATCTGAATAAATTCAATTAAAAATATTATTCTATGCCTGAATTTCATTTTTGTAATACCATCTTAAAAATAAAATAGATCCCTAAGTAATATGCACTATTACTAAACATGAATTAATTACTATAATTATTAATAAGCTTGAGAATAAAATAAACTTTATGCAATTTATCAAGTAGCATTAAATATTTTACAATTATAATAATTGGACATATTTGAAAGAAGATAAGTGACACTTACTTTTTACTAATAGTTAGCTTTATGTTGATTTTTTTTATGTCTCATTTTGTCACATACTTAGTCAGCCTAAAGGTTTAGTAAATAGCAGGCAGATTTTACGTCAAATGGCATAGGTTAAAATGAGAAGTACAATCATAATCAGCATGATTCATAACAAAAGACTGAATGCTGTCACTGCTGCTGCTTGTCTAGAGAGAGACCTGCTGATTAGAACAAACCTGAAAGGCCTGATGTAGGCATGGTTGACAAGCGTTGAAAGTTACTTAGGATCTGTTTAATGCAGTTAGTGTCATAGCTTTGTGCAGAGTCCCAGGGGTTGTAACTCAGTTAGTATACTTTAAGGTTCCAAAGCACCAGAAGTGATAAGTTGTTTTGTATCATTTTAAGTCTCACTAGGTGCAAAGAACAAGTTTTACTTGAATTTTTACATTTTTGTGTTTTATCTTGTGACCACAGTGTGATTATTAATGAAAGGCAATAATTCACTTTAATATGTAGAGATAATTTTTAAGGGTTAAGCAGTTAGCTATAAATAATTAAATTAGGTAACCTTAGTCATTATGGATTTACATGGCCACTATTAAATTTTATTTTTTAACAATGTTTGTTAAAAAGCCCTATTAAAATCAAAATCTAATAAAATTTCACAGTTTAAAATACATGTAATTTATGACATTGATTCTTAAACAATATTAGGATATTTACACATTAAAAGTTACAAAACATTTATGTTTTGTAACAAGAACACTCAACAAAATATTTATCCGTGATTTCAATTTAGCCTTCCCAAACATATTGGCTAGTTTATATCGATTTCCTTCTCTTTAAGCATCTTTTCTAACAATTGGAAATTTGTCTCAATATGCAAACCAATACTCTTGCTAGTTCCTGCGTGCTTTATCTCCTAACTTGTCAACCTTCCCACAGTACACCTATGAGGATTTACTTGATCTGCTATGTCTGAAATTAACTACATATCAGACAAAGGTTTAAATAAGCCTGTTAAGGTTTAAATAAGCCTGTTATTTAAAAAGAAATTGGAAAATAAAGCTATTTTCTGATGCTAACAAAATCAATTACAGCTCACGGTGACGTAATTAAACAAGAACAATCAAATTCAAACTAAAAATGCAGACTAGTGGTAAAAGATAATAAAATTTAATTAAAATTTAATCTGGCTCAGTAACTCTATCATATGAGGAAATAGAAATGGAAAATTATAGTAAAGGCTAAAATCATAAACAATTGGGTAATTTACATAATAATAACTGCACATAGCTTTGAAGAATAATTTTTCTTTATTCTTTCTTCAACATGTTTTCTTTTCATTTTAGAATTTTTGGATTTAATTACGGATTTCTATTATTCTAAAAAACACTAAATGCATTTAGAATGTATAGAAAAAGTAGCTAATCTTATTTCTTTAGTAATATGAACATTCAGGGGAAATATGAAATATATATGGTAAAGGCCAATTACAGAGCTGGTGTGGCAGAATTTTTAGAATTTAGTGCCATACCGAACAAAAAAATCTAGAAATAGCAAAACTTTTAGAATTTAGAGCAGGCATTGGAAGCAGAATTTAGAAAGGCACTAGGCAGCAGAATTTAGGATCCATAGAGACCGCATTAAGTGGGAAAACGTTTAGTGCCAGCTCTGTGTATGATGCATTAAGACATATTAGATGAATATTTTAAATTGCAAGTTTTCAATTTCTCTATTAATAAAAAAATCTCTATAATGCCTGCCCAAGTGATAAGATTAGAAGCATTTTTGATATTTTCCATGCTTATGTCTAGTGAAAAGTAGAGAAAATAAAGGGAAGATAAAGAAAGTGGCTCTTTTATCTTCCCTTTATTTTCTTACGTTAAGAAAATGACTCTAGTATCAGGAGTAAAACATTCAAATATTATGTTTTCATTGTTCTTCTGGCGTTCTCCAAAAAGTAAGAAATTCATCACAAACTTTCTGTAAAATACATCCATTATGTATTGATACCATGGAGACATTTTTCATTTTGTCACATATTTCTCGAATTTTCAAGAATCGTGAGTCTATAAATCTTACCTTCAAATCCTTCTAAACTTTCCAAGCTGCAGTGTCTAAATACTAAAGAAAAATTATCCCTACTAATTCTTCTGTAACAGCAAAAAGGCAGAAATATTTTGGAAAAAAAAAAAGGGAAAAAGGGTAAAATAGATTTTACAGAGAAAACTGATGCATATTCTGAGAATTTTGAATATTCTGAGACAATTACATGGAAACCGCTTACTATGAAAAAAATTAAAAAGACTTTTTAATTACGTAGCTAATTTTGCTTTTCCTAAGAGCTGTTTCATAGATTATGCTTTATAGCATTATACCTTGTTTATTTTTCAGATTCAAAATATTGTATAAGAAGTTGCCAAAATGAAACTTTATAATATGACAGTGAAAAATAAAAATTTTTTATTTTAATGTTATTTTTTAAATATAATTTCAAATATTACCATTATTTTAATGAAATTTATCAATGCTATGATGTTTTGAAAACAATCGTTGAAAAGTTCTTAGATCTCGGAATTAAAAATTTTCTATAGAAACTGATCTTAAAATCCCCAAAATGTTGACAAGTTGCAAAATTTAGAACTGTTTAATAAAAGAATTCACATCCCCAAAAGCAAAAAGTTGTTTAAGAGCTCTTTATTAGAAAAAATGAATTTCGAAATGCTTATGTTTCACTTCTTGCTTGGAAACTCGAGTATCCCATTATTTATATCAGAAATAGAAACAAATTATAAAACAAGAACTCATTCAAAAGATAACCATATATGTCAGTGAATCGCCAAAAATATTCCTCAAATGCTAATTCACACTCAAAATGGCAGTCGTAAAAACAGACAGAAATTTCAGATGATTAAAATTAAGGACCTTCTGCTGATTTTGGCCAAAATTAAGGACTTTTAAGGACCAAAAATCGATTCCAAAAAATTTAAGGACTCTTAAGGACCGTACGAACCCTGTATAGGGCTAAAAAGATGTACACAAAAACAAACAACTCTGAAAAATTACTTTTTATAATTACTATAACAGCATTTGTCTTTCAACGCTTAATTAAAATAAAAAAAGCAAATGATTTTCCATTTTTATGCTAAAACAAATTAATCCATTTTTAAGCTAATGCAAATTAATTTAATTGCCATGTTAGTACAAAATTAAAGATTCACAATACGATTGATTTGTAAATATTTTTATTTTAAGCACATATTTTCAAATGCATTCATTCTTATTTGATTAATTACATACAGCTGTTTTTAATAAAGCATTTTTTATCATATTCTTATTAGTATAATTTTAAAATCTCCTTTGTAGCATTAACTCTTTTTCCTGATATCATACTTTCCAATCAACATCGATGGTCAATGATTCAATTTGAACTTAGCATACATGTAATGTGTTTCACTATTATAAGCATAAAGGTCTGGAGATCCATATACTAAGGTAGTCAATCTCCCCTAGTTGTAATGTTACACAGAAAACATACACAACATTAAATGAATGAGAACCTACAGCCCTATGCGCTTACATTCTTGGCCAGGATTGCAGGTGAAATTTTCCAATCTAATAATTCTTTTCCTAACAGCTCAGCTTGCCTATGACTGTTTTACATGCTTTACAGCCTCCCTAGGACTGTAACTTTCAACAGAGCAACTACAGTGCCAACTACCATTTTGCCACAAAATCTAGATTTGAGCAACTCTATCCATGTGGTCCATTTACTCCAGACCAATATCAGGCATTTGTTTACTCTGACAAACCAAATAACATCATGCATTGCAGCAGTAAATAGCTGCAAACACTACTCAAGATGGCAGGACTGCATATCACAGACACCTCTATAATTGTTATGCTGCTCTGCTTTTTCAATCACATGTAATAGCCATTCATTTCCATCATCATGTTCATAGAGTTTTAAATCAATCTATTGCTTCTTTCCTTGTACACAATTTTCATTCTTTATGAAAATGCACCAATTTCATTATACATGAGTGTAATTAAATATTCAATTTCAGAGTTCTATTTATTTCTTTAAGAATATTTAAAATTAATATACCAAAGAAAAGATTATGATTACGGTTTCAGATAGAGGAAACACGTATCAAACTCCACTACCTTTTGGCATGCCTAAGAACACTACGGTTGATCAAAAGGAGACATCATCTGTGTTAGTAAAAGTTACAAGAGCAGAAAATGGTTCGCTGCACAATAATGTTAGCAATGACTATTGATGATAAAAATTGGCATCTTTCACAGTGTTTAAATAAAAACTTCCTAGCAATATCACATTTAGGGTATATGAGAAAATCTGAGTAATGAAAGAGAAACTCAATTTAACATAGAACCCTCATAAAAAATTGCTACAAAAAACAGTCTTGAACAGATTCTATTGCCATCTAACAGAAGATGTAAAAAAGCAAATACAGAACTAAAAGACTGTTTTAAAAGACTGTTTCTCTCAGTATTCCAAGAAAACTTGAATCGCTTCTGCAACCACTGAGCGTATCAGTGAATAAACCATCCATAGACTTCAAAAGTTTTATGATGAATCAATATAAGCAGGATCACACAATTTTTCTAGAACCAGAAAAATCCAGTGACTGAATTGATTTGCTCATATTTTGGGTGCATGGGCTCCGATTAATAAAAAGCTCTGATCAATAAAACAATCATAATGAAAAGCTTCAAGAAAACATGGATATCAAAGGCTCTCAATGGCTCTGAAGATAATTACATGTGGGAACACAAACTTAATGGTGTACTTAATGATGAAGACAGTGACAATTTGCAAGCTGTAGGAGATAATGTGGATATTAATTTGGACAGAATTAATAATTTGAGGCTTGGACAGTAGCAGTAGATAACACAAGGATCGTGCAAGATTTAAATTACAGGAAAGTTGAAACTAATCTTATTAGATATCTAATAAGATATTGTAATGTTAATATTACTATGCATTCTAATTAGAATGCAGGTTTCATTTAAAGAAATAATATTAAGATAATAGCAGTAGTTTATTCACGACTAATTTACATTTATTATGCTCTTACTGCAACCCTTTTATTATGCCCTTTGGAAATTAAATACTCACATAATTTTCCTCTCTCGATTTTCAGACAATAAAATTAGTAAACAAAAGGGAAAATACCTGAGAAAATACAGTATAATAAACTCTTAACATAATACTAATTTATTACATACCAGAATATCAACATACAACACCCAAACTTGCTGCCCAGGAATTACACAAAGAGATTTCATATCAATTAATTTTTCATTATTGCAGCTCTGCATCAAAATTTGGCTTACATCTGCTGCAAAATCATCACCACCTCGACCTTCAAAATCTAAATGGGCATGAGGTGTACTGAAAGAAAAATATATATAAAACAAATTAATTTCAAATTCTGGTCTTTGTGAAATATTAGTTTTAAATTTCTTACTTTATATCTACATGATAAAAAAATAGGTAAATCAAAATCATAACAAACTAGCAATAGCCCTTTAATTCTTTATTTTAATTTGGTATTTCCTCTTTCTGCTTTAAAAATCTCAATTGATTATAATAAACTTTTCTGGACTGTGTCATTTCTAGATTAACCCATATTACACGACTTTTACATAACGATGATGATGTAGCTAATTCAAACTGAAAACTTCCTCTTAAACTAAGCTTCTACTGAATAACTAAGCACTTCTGCTTCTCTTTGCCACTAAGATGTTGCGACATTGCTTTCTTCCTGTCCCAACAGTATCAAAAATATAAATATTGCATTCTGCAACAAGCACAATTAATGCAATAAACTGTTTGTGGCTGCAAAATGTTTAACTGCAATTAAATGAATATTTGAAAACCTGCCATGACTGCATTCTTCTACTGTTTTGTGTTTCAAAATCTGGTCAATTTCCCAAACATTATATACATATAACAGTTCTCCACAGAGAATGAGCATTATTCAACCATGGAAAACAATTACATTTTAAATAACAGTTCAATTTACAGGACTAGTTTACAATGAGAGAAAGAAAAAATTACGCAGAAATAAACTATATTACAAGATATAATGATGAAATTTCAGATCAAAATAGAGAAAATAAATAATAATAAGCCGTATTTACTATATTTGCTTGACATCTAAAAATAAATACAATTTATTTTTCCACTCATATTTAAATAATTTGAACAATTTCTAAATTTTCATTGTATAACAGTTTTCCCTTAACAGATATTGCAAGCAAAGTAATTTAAGTAAAAATAAGCAAAAAGAGGAACATTTCTGAAATTGGAAGACACTGCTTCATGCAGTCATCCTTTAACAGTAAAAGCTTAACTAACTGGCATACTTGGAAATTGCCGACTATCTGAAAAATTCCGAATAGTCAGGCGTAACTGGAAAAAGAGGAGGGGATAGATTGTAGCCATTCTTTAGATTTTTTGGCTAAATAATGCTTTTGACATTTCAATATGTACATCATATAAAAATAGCCCAACAGAACTGAAAATTTTTAAGTGCTCATAAACAAATCTCAGACTGAACATCAAAATTGATTATCGCTGCAAAATATCGCAAAAATTATTGCGCAATACATGTAGCTTAATTCTTTTGCACGTGATATTACATAATCGGAATCAACAGCTGCCGGTACTCGGAGAATAAATAACTAAATAAAGGAAAAGAAAGAGACTTACTAATCTGGGGTGTTTTTCAATCTAATTTTGAACAGACTGTGTTAAATTTACAGAATGGAATCATTCTTCGCTTGGGTTGGTAGACCGCAGAACTTTTAGTCCTATTCAATCCAGATTGGAAAGTCATAAGAAAAAACTCCATTGCTTGTTTTGCTGCAAACTGTAACAGTTTCAATATTTGAGATTTTGCGGAGAAAAGGGAGGACCCCCAACTTCCATACTGTATATAATGCATTGGCATAAAAAAAAAAAAAAAAAAAAAAAAAAAAAAAATTTTGACTATTCCATTATTTTTGCTTTATTTAAGCCATTCCGAATATTATTCCTTAGAAAGCTAATTTGTGTTAAAACAAACCCATTTTTGAAGTTTATCTATACTTCAGCAGTTACTGCAAATATATTATTATACATATTCAAACATATGCTCAGAATATAAGCATAACGATCATAAGAAATGAGAATATGAACTGACCATGTGGAACAAGAATGCAAATTATTAAAATCTTGATAGAAATTCAAACGTGTGTAGTCTTGGGTGGAAGGCAAAGAATAAGAAACGTACCAGAATTTCCCAATGCTTTCGCAATTATTTGACCAACAGAACAACATGCACCTGTTTGCACTCATGTGAACCAAAGGTTACCTTAATGCAGAGAAAGGGGCGAAAAGCTATTTCCGGGAGCATGATTCACCATCTGACGTTCCAGATAAAGGCCAGTTTACACCTGTTCAAGCAGCTCATGTCTGGGCACCTCGAACCGAGTGAACGGATATGTACTCTGAAAGATTGTTTACACGAATCAGCACAGACTGACAACTTGCCTCCGTTTGTTTACAAAATGAATACCGACATGGCAGCTGCAGTGCTTGAAGTCTGCGAACCAGTTTCAAACGAATTCATTTCTGTTCTTGAAAAAAAAAATCTGATGTGTACACTACATGACTTCCTTGTACGGAATATTAAATTATACGCATTTTTTCTTGCATTTCATTTAAACTTATTAGATTGAATTAAACCTACTTCGACGACAGCGCATAAATCACAATAGAATAAATACATTCTTTAAAATTCACTTTGTTTACCATAGCGACACTCTGGCACTAGGTTTACTTATATTTCGTTCATATTATAACTCAGAATGCACAAAATTTATATCATTTAAAGAATTATCTAATCGTTGCCACATGTTCTATTCAAATACTATAATAAAGCTAGAACGATGTATAAAAGAAATTAAGCAAACAAAACGAAAAAGAAACAGTTTTTCACAGACGATTGAGTATTTCTCATTCAATTAATTCAGTTTTCACTTCGCGACAAGGCAAAAATACATAAAAACTCAAAATATCTGTATTAAAAATTACGAAGTAAATCTTAAACACTTATTTCCTCGAAAAAATTCCAGAAAGGATTAAGCATGATTTAATTCGCAATAATAAAAGAAGGCGTTATTTTTGTGTCGCGAAGCTTAAGTCTCTCTAGATTGGCAACAAATCTACAATTCTGTTGTTTCAAATGTAAACAAATATGTCCGCCATGTTATTTAAAACTTAACCACACTAAAATAGCTTTTAAATTGTTGATAATTGTACAAATATTACTTCCAGAATTACGAAAGGCATAAAAACTTTAACCGGAAGATAAAAACAACATAATTCAATCATTTTTAAAGCAAAAAAATGTACAATTTACAAACATATAAGAGTAAACAAACTGAGATCACTAAGCTGGGTAACAGAGTGGATATATATATAAATATATTTATATACGTTTGGTGCGGCCGATTGCAACCAAAATACGAGGTGCACATGTACATGTTATAGCAGTCCTATATATAAAATTTCAACGTTCTGAGGCTACTCGTTTTGAGTTATGCGAGATACGTTCGTACAGACACCATGAAAAATTCTCTTCAGAATTCATTTTAAAGCAGTTTTATAATTTTTTTGGAGGAAAATCGTGTTTTATTCTGTCCTTTCATATAGATATCATGGAAATACATCGTTAAATTGCATTTGAAAGTGGTCAAAATGGGATATTTTCGTTGAAATACGCTACCTGAAACTTTTCGTGATTACAATACTTCCTTTTTACTTTGTACAAGGAAGTAAAAAGAGAAGGAAAGGAAATGGGTACCTGACTGGGCTACTCGCTGCGATGAATTAGGAGTATTGAATCAACTATTAAATGAATTTCAGGACAAGGATGTCCTAAGTTACAGAAACTTTATTGTATTTCAGATACAAGGACTTAAAATATATTCTATAAACATAATTGAAATTTATTCACCTTCAAAATATATTCATTAATCAATTTCAAAGAAATTCAGTTTACTGAGGGAAGTTAATCGATTTAAAAGAAACTCAGTTTATTGAGGGAAGTTATTTAGTCAACTGCAGTTTATTGAAATTCAAGTTAAAGTTTTTCTACTATCTACTATATATAACTGTTTATTTACACCTAATTAATCATTTACAAAATAATCTAAAAGTAATAATGTGTTTTATTACTTATTAATAAAAAGAATATATTTATTCATCCAAAATCCACAGAATCAGTAGCTCTCTGTGCATGTAATTAATTATGCAGAGTTCTGACTGGAACTGTATTATTTCTAGAACAGAATGCAAAATTAACATATGGAATATTTATTCAAAGCTACCATTAACATGACAGAAATAAACTGTATAATATATACCTAATTATTCAGAAAATCTTAAATAAATAAGAAGTAACAAAAAACTTGGGAGCATTACATATATTATCACACATAAAAGAATATATATATTATGACATAGTTCCAACAGGAATATATTTATTACAAATTGTTACTTTTGGATCCTACTGAAATAGTGTTTCCGGACAACACACAAATAATATATAAAGTGATATCAACAAATATTTATAATGATTAAATATAGTGATTATACTTTACTTTTAAAATGCTGAAAGGAGTAGTTTAAAAAAATTAGAATCCATCTAGCATAATTTGTATAAACCTTAATACACCTTAAGTACTTGTACTCAGTGTTTCACATCCAAGCTGAATTGTAACAAATTATACCTCAGAATGTTTTTATACAAAGCAACAAATATAAACATCCCCAAGATCTACATACAGATTTTCACAATTACATTTTTATTTTTATAGTTTATAATATGATACATTTATTGCATCCTCATGTAGGGATGCTTGTAGAAAAATGAATATAAGCTCACATAATTATAGAAGTATGCGCAACTTATTAATGAAGCAGTGAAGTGTTCCATAACACTTCATAAGATGTGTATGCATTAAACTATCGCTCTATCTCGGCATTTTCAACATAATAGAACTCAGTCACGATGTCTCTGGGAATGCTGCTTGGACAGATTTTTCAACAGGTTCAAAGTAGAAGCGGAAGCACTAACTCATCTTCCCTACATTTCTACTCGATCGAAGTGAGCGTTTACATTGTCAAAGTAGTCGTTAACAAGCTGCTTGGACAGGTGTAAACTTTAGGAAGAAGTTGTTTAAGTTTCAACTTTGGTATGGGGGGGATATGCATGTTCGTTTTACAAAAAAAGCACTAAAAGCAAAAAACTAAGTGCTTTAGAGAAAAAGTAAGCACCTAAAAGGGCCTTTATATTTTATTTTCAAATATAAGAACTTATAAGCACTCATAAGAACCGCTAT